CTCAAAGTGAATGATAATCAAAATAATGCCCCATCCTCTTATAGCTGCATTTGAATGGGGATTTTAAAAAACAGTTTGTCATCAAATCAATTCCAACTCATGGTGACTCCATGTGTGTCAGAATGGAACTATGCTCCACAGGGTTTTCAATGGCTGATTTTTTAGCAGTAGAGCACCAGGTCTTTCTTTCAAGCACCTCTGGGTGGACTCGAAATGCCAATCTTTCCCTCAGTAGCTGAGCTGGGGATTGGTAGGCAATAAACAAATAACCATATCTGTTCAGTAGTGATGAGCACTATGGGACAAAATGATTCTAAGGAAGTTAGGGAATGCCAGGAGAGTGGGAGTGGGGAGTTTTCATTGCATTTCCAATGGTCCAGGAAGACCTCTCTGACAAAATGAAATTTGGGAAAGAGAGTCACAGATGGAGGGAATAGAAAGTGCAAAGGCCCTGAGGAAAGAAGGTTCAAGAATTGGGGGGTGCAGATCATGTAGGACCTTGTAGACCATTGTTATAGATTAAATTGTGTCCCCCAAAAGTATCTGTCAACTCGGCTAGGCTATGATTCCCACTATCGTGTGATTGTCCACCATTTGTCATCTGATGTGATTTTCCTATGTGTTGTAAATACTATCTCTATGATGTTAATGAGGTGGAATTAGGGGCAGGTATGTTCATGTGTCAGGACTGAATCTACAAGATTAGATTGTGTTTTAAGCCAATCTCTTTTGAGATATAAAAGACAGAAGCAAGCAGAGAGTCTGGGGAACCTCATACCACCAAGAAACAAGAGCTAGGAGAACAGCAGGTCATTTGAACCCGGGGTCCTTGTACTGGGAAGCTCCTGGACTAGGGGAAGATTGATGACAAGGACATTCCTCCAGACCTGACAGAGAGTGAAAGCCTTCCCCTGGAGCTGACAACCTGAATTTGGACTTATAGCCTACTAGACTGTGAGAGAATAAATTTATCTTTGTTAAAGCTATCCACTTGCAGTGTTTCTGTTATAGCAGCACTAGATAACTAAGACAGCCATTAAAAAGATTTTGGATTTTACTTTGTGTTATTAGAAAGAGAAGTCACTGGAGAGTTTTGGGCAGTGTCATGATTTCACTTAAATTCTAAAAGATTCACTCTGCTTCCGTGTAGGTAATAGACTTAGGTGAGTGTTATGGATTGAATTGTGTCCCCCAAAAATATGTGTTGTAAATCCTAACCCCTGTACCTGTGGTTATCATCCCATTTGGGGATGGGTTTTCTTTGTTATGTTATTGGGACAGTATTAATGTCGGGTGTGCCTTAAGTCTTTTTTTATTGTACTTTAGATGAAGGTTTGCAGAGCAAATTAGTTTCTCATTCAACATATTGTTTTGTGACATTGGTTGCCAACCCCATGACACGTGAACACTCTTCCCTTCTAGACTTTGGCTTCCTTATTACCAGCTTTCCTGTCCCCTCCTGCCTTCTCGTCCTTGCCCCTGGGCTGGTGTGTCCATTTAGTCTCATTTTGTTTTATGGGCCTGTCTAATCTTTGGCTGAAGGGTGAACCTCAGGAGTGACTTCAGTATCGAGTGTCTTTTGAGATATAAAAAGAGCAGATTAAGCAAGGAAGCAGAGATGGAGGAAGATAGATGCCACACATGAAGATCGCCAAGGAAACAAGGAACAAGGACCTTCCCCAGAGCCGACAGAGGGAGAAATCCTTCCCTTAGAGCTACACCCTGAAGTCGTACCTCTAGCCTCCTCAACTGTGAGAAAATAATTCCTGTTTGTTAAAGCCACACACTCGTGGTATTTCTGTTAGAGCAAACTAAGACAGTGAGCAAGATGGGAAACAGAGAAGTTAGGAGGTTCTTGCAATCATCCATGTGAGAGAGGATGGTGCTTGACTGGAGTGATAACAGTGGAGATGCTAGAAATGGTTGGATTCCAAGTATATACCTACTCCTCACTTATCAACTATCTCATTACTCAACATTTATCATCTACGACAATAGTAAAAAATCTATTATCCAACTATTTTGTACGTTAACAACCTACGTCTGGCAATAACGAATGCCGAGGTGCAAGGCAAGAGTAACGCTGGCTGTGATGGTTAAGGTTATGTGTCAACTTGGCTGGACCATGATTTTAAGTGGCTTCTCAGTTATGTAATGATGCAATTCAGCAGCAATGCAATGAGTAGTCATCCTCCATTTTGTGATCCGAGTGGTCATCCTCTGTTTTCACATGACATCAGTTTTCACATAACAACGTGGTCTTTGGAACTTAACCATGTTGATAAATGAGGAGTGAGGAGTGGGTGTAATTTGAAGGTAAAGCTTGTGAGATGTTGGATAGATGGGATGTGGTGTGAGAGTCAGAGAGGAGTCAAGAATGATTTCTAGGTTTCTGGCCTGGGAACAGTGAAGTTCTGCTTAGTGCAACAAGGAAGGTTGCACGACGAACAGGTGCAGAGGTAAAGGCAAGGAGCTTCATTTGAGGCATGTTAAGCCAAGCCACCACCTGTCTACCCATTTGTCATGCTGTGGTGGCTTGCATGTTGCTGTGATGTTGGAAGCTATGCCATTGGTATTTCAAATACCAGCAGGTTCACTTACGGAAGACAGGTTTCAGTGGAGCTTCCAGACTAAGACAGAACAGGAAGAAGGACCTGGCAGTCTACTTCCTAAAATCAGCCAATGCAAACCTTAAGGGTAACGTGATTGTGAGGATGGCACAGGACTGGGCAGTATTTCTTTCCATTATACATAAGGTCTCTGTGAGTTGGAGCTGACTCAACGGTAACGAACAACAACTACAATAAGCCAAGTGAAGGTGTCCATCAGCCAGTCGGTGATTTGAGTCTGGAGGTCTGCAGAGCGGGCAGGGCCCAGGAGGTAAATTTGGGAAGTATCCACATGTAGGTAGCATTTGAAGCCAAGGACAGGATTAGCGCTCCATGGGGATGAATACAAGCAGGTCTGAACCCCAGGACACTCCCACTTGAGATGGTGGTCAGGAGATGAGAAGAAACCAGCAAAGGAGTATAAGAAGAAGCAGCCAGTGTGTAGGAGGAAAATGAGGAAAGAATGTGTCCCAGAAGCCAAGTGAAGAAAGTATTTCAAGGTCAAGTATGCCAAATGCTGATGAAGGGTCAAATAAGATGAGGACTGATGCATTATTAGATGTGGCAATGATGGGATCATTAGAGACCCTGGCAAGAACAGTTTCAGGGAATGGTGGGCCCAAAGAACAGATTGGAAAGAGAGGTAATGTTTGAAGAATTTTCCTGTAAAGGACTGAAAAATAAAGCTATAGTTAAAAAGAGAAGTGACGTCAAGAGAGGACTCTTTTTAAGGAAGGGACAAATTATAGCACTTTTTACACTGACGGGAATGAGGCAATACAGCAAGAAGAAATGAGGATCCAAGTGATGGAAGAAATTGTCCTCGAGGAGGGTAGGTTATGGAGTCCAGTATACGGGCAGAGGAGTTGGCCCAAATGGTTCACAGTAGCGTGCAGAAGCCAAGGGGTGATATGACCAAGTGAGATGGATGGATGGGGAGGGTAGAGATTTGGAAGTCCTCTCTCGTCTCATCTGTTTGCTCAGTGAAATGGGAAACAAAGTCATGAGCAAAGAATGAAGAGGAAAGGAAAGGGTGAAGGTTTGAGAGGAGAGGTTATTGTCGTTAACTGTCATCGAGTTGGCCCCTGACTCACAGTGATCCCATGCACAATGGAACAAAATGCCGCCTGGTACTGTGCCATCCCCGTGATCAGTTGCAAATCAGACCATTGTAGTCCATAGGGTTTTCACTGGTTGATTTTCATAAGTAGTTTGCCAGGCCTTTCTTCCCAGTCTGTCTTAGTTTGGAAGCTCCCCTGGACCTGTTTAGCTACACGCAAGCCTCCACTAACAGATGGGTGGAGGCTGCACATGAGGTGCATTGGCTGGAATTAAACCCAAGTCTCCTGCATGGAAGGGGAGAATTCTACCGCTGAACCATCAACTCTTTCATCGAGGTGAGAGGAGAAGCTGGGAAATACTTCTTTAGGAGCCAGGATTCCAACCAATGTTATCTGACTCCAAGGACAGAGCTCTTCCCACTCTCTGACTTCCTGCACAGGGGGAGAGAGTCAGACATCCTTCATCTTGTGGTTGTGCTCATTTCTACAACCTTGGGGTCCATAAGAACATGTCGCTTGTGAATGGAAAGTCTACTCAGCTCAAACGCTTCACTCGCCATCAAGGTCAACTTCATATTCACCAAGAGCAAGAGAAAAGATGTTTTGTTGATTTCAATATATCTGACTTCTTCACTGTGCTTTGCCCTCAGGGATCCATCACAACCAAAATGAATCCCAAGGAAGAAAAAGTAAAGATAATTACAGAGGTAAGTGTTTGCTTAGATGTACTCTGGGATATGTTTGTGTATGTGCTCATGCCACACGTGTAGGTGATTGAGGAAGTTAACGGCCACCAGCAAGCATTTATTGCACACCTACTGCATACAGAGGACACTATATATAGCAGGTATATGGTAGAGATGGGAGCGGATGGTATAGGGACTCCAGGGTCTTCGGCTCAACCTGGATACTCTAAAACTGCTTTGTCACCATTTTTTGAATCCTGACACAGCAGTTCTAAGTTACCATCTACACCTGGGTCTGGTTCTGCCTGAAACAATTGATTTCTGAAGAAATTCAGAAAGACGATAACAACTGTACACTATAATGACTAATAAAATTCTCGGGCCATTCTCTGTCCAAGGAGTCCTGCAATTTCTGATTCACGTACAAAAAAAAATCAAAGTACTGTCTAGACCAGAGAAAGGGGAGCCAAACTGTAGCCCACACCACAGGAGTCCCTGGGTGGTACAAATAGTTAACGTGCTTGGCTGCTAACCGAAAGACTGAAAGTTTGAGTCCACCCAGAGGCACCTCAGAAGAAAAGCCTGGCAATCTACTTCCTAAAAATCGCCAGTGAAAACCCTATGGAGCACTGTTCTACTCTCACACACGTGGGGTTGCCACAAGTCGGAGCTGAATCGACAGCAGCCGGTTACTGGTTAGACCACCCCAGAGCAGTAAGAGTACTCCTCTCAATTCTTGCAACTCCCTTGGCTCAGTGGTTCATGGCCTTGGGACCACAGAGGCAGAAATGGAGACATATGCTGTTTCCATTATTTGTTGTTAGTTACTGTCAAGTCAGTTCCAACTCATGGCGACCCCAAGGGTACAGAGTAGGACTGTTCCATAGGGTTTTCAAGGCTGTGACCTTTCAGAAGCAGATCTCCAGGCCTATCTTCCAAGGCACTTGTGGGTGGGTTTGAGCTGCCCACCTTTCAGCTAGTAGTTGAGCGCTTAACTGTTTGCATCACCCAGGGACTCCATTTCAAAAAGCCTAAAGGACCTCATTACCCAGATAAAACCAAACAGATTAATTGTAAGCAAGACCTCGAGTGCTGAGAAATCACATAAATCTATATTTGCTCATTCATGCACATAACAAACGCTTATTGTGCCAGGCTATACCTGTATTGGGGATAAAGGTAAACAAAATCCTCTGCCTTCATGGAGCATAATTACTCTATATCTTATTTGAAGTCCTACTGGACTGTTTCCCATTAGTCGAGGATCAAAACATTTATTGGAAGACAAAAACTAACTTAGATTTTTCACAAGTCCATTCTAAAGCAGTAAGAACTTAGAATTGAATTGAAAACCTTGCTAACATCACCTCAGTATTATCATCATCTTATAATATAGGTAAATTGCTGAGCTAAGAACCTGGGCTCTGAAGTAAGAGACAAGAGTGAGGATGGGGCTTCTACTCAGAGGGTGGGTCAGAGAGACCAGGTCACACAGGCCAAGGTAAAGCCTACACTAAGCCCTAACAGAGGTCTCAATGTCTGTTCCCTCATCTGTAACGGTGGTTATGTCTTCTCTAACCCAAATGGCCAAGGGCAGTAATGTGTACTTGGGGCCTAGTCCAGCAACCTACTGGATATTTCTTTGAAATCATATATCGTTTCATTAAAATTTATGCACCTTTTGCTTTTTATTCCGAGCTTGTTTCAATATAAAACAAAATATTTCCCAAGATTTTCTAATAAAATCCGTGTCCCAGAGAGAGGGTCTATGTTTATCTTACAGAGTCTTGTACATCCAGAAATACTTGAATTCCAGTTTGAAAAGTTCTGAGACTAGAAAACTTGAAAGATTTACAACTTTGGAGCTTTCAGCTCTCATGTTTTATGACTAAAACTTTAGAAGAATGTAAGATGGAAAAACAAAATGAAGTTTGCACTGTAAGAAAACAATCTTCTTTTTCCAAAAGATCTGCTAAAATTTCCTTTAAATCAAAACTTCTGTGGTGATTTAACACATATCTTTATTATTCTCTACCTGATGGTAAGGCTGGGAAGCAGAGAAAAATCTAACATTAAACACCCCAAAGGAGCCCTGGTGGCACAATGGTTAAGCACTCAGCTGCTAACTGAAAGGTTGGCAGTTTGAACTCACCCAGCAGCTCCACGAGAGAAAGACCTGGCTATCTGCTCCCGTAAAGATTACAGCTAAGAAAGCCCTATTGGGCAGTTCCACTCCATCAGATGAGGTTGCTATGAGCCAAAACTGACTTGACAGCACTCAATAACCACAACAAAACACCCCAAGTGTCTGTATGTCTAACATGCCTAACGTCTGTCTCCTGTACTATGGTCCTTTTTTATCACAGCGTCTGTCCTAGTAGAGTCACTTGTTCATTTCCTACATTAAATTGTGACTTTAATGTAGTATGTTGCATTCATCTCTGTGCCCTCAGGGCCTGAACACAGTAAGCACTCAGTGTTTTGTGCATGAACTAGGACCTGGAACAACGAAAGCTCCAACATCATCTTATTTACGATGTTTCAATGGCTGCTGAGATTTGGTGGCTGCTTATTTGCTTATTTGGTGTTCACTGTCCCCTGGTCATGAAGTGGTTAAGAGCTTGGCTGCTAACTTAGCAGTTTGAATCCACCAGCCACCTCTTGGAAACCCCTAAGAGTCGCTATGAGTCGGAATCGACTTGACGGCAATGGGTTTGGTTTTTGGTCCCTAAACTCACACTGAACGTCAGCAGATAAAAGCCCAGGCTCAAGATGATGATTTTAATTTTAATATCATAAAAATCAGACCCTTTTCTCACTTGAGATTCTTTCCCAACTTACACACAAACATACACCCTTAAGTGTCAGCTCTCCCATTTGCATTTTAACACAGGAGTTCCTTGAAAATGAGGAGAATGCTCATGTGGGAAGACAGAAGAAGAGCTCAAAGGATAAAAGACAAAAAAGAAAAAAACAGGTAAGGAGTGACAAGCAGCATATCCTGTGTCTTAACCTGCCTGCCCCCACAACAGAATCCACAGAAGGAAGAGATCCGCCACGCCAGTACCAGCATTTGACTCTGGGGACATGAGGCAGGGATGCAAGTGGGTGGTCTGGAGTCCGGGACCCTGGATTGGGGACTTATAGAACATCCTCAGGAGACCTTGGGCGGTGCAAATGGTTGACACACTCAACTGCTAACTGAAAGGTTGGAGGTTCTAGTCCACCCAGAGGCACCTCAGAAGAAAGGCCTGGTGATCTACTTGTGAAAAATCAGCCACTGAAAACCCTATGGAGTACAGTTCTACTGTGACATTCTTGGGGTCACCGTGAGGTGGAGTCTACTCAACAGCAACTGGTTGGTTGTAGATGGTCCTCACAAAAAGATCAGTACTTGTAGCATCGGCCACTTTTCTGAGAGGGAAGTCTGGAAACGACTGGAAGAGCCAGTCTTAGTGTTGTCATCGAAGGCCATAAACTAAGACAGGCAGTAGGTGGCAGTGCAGGACTACACAACTTGGGAAACTCCTCTTTCTGTAACTCCAAGCCCAAATTCCTGCCTCCTGCCTGCTGGCACTTCCTCCCCACCTCTCTGCGGAGTTCCCCTCCTTGGCTGGGAGCATCCCGTGCAAGGTAAACCTCCTCAAGACAAATGCATTCCCTCAGTCAGGAGTCGTTCTGCTCTGAAAAGCGAGGCAGGAAAGATGTGTGCAGGGGCGATTTGCTTGGAACAATTAAGATGCCAGCAGGAAAAAAGGAGAGGGAAGGGAGCGCCATTTTGAGCCAGCAGACACGTGATAGGAATGCCGGGAGAGGGGGCCCTGGGAGGTGGGGAGGGGACCGGAAAGAAAGCTCCCTCTGAGTACCCCCTTGCCCAGCACAGGCTTGTTTGGGGGTTACTGGGCATAGGAACTGCCACAACCTGCCTTTCCTGCAGGCTGGGATGAAGCGATGGGTGACCAGGGCAGGACCCAGGGGGCAGGGAATTGCTACCCAAGCACATGGGTCACCACTCCAGAGTGAGGGAGACCCGCAGCCAGCCAGGTGCCTGCGCTTTAACCCCTTCCTGCAGGGTCTGCCCGGGGTAGGGCTTTGCAGATTGGGACAAAAGAACCAAGGCAGATGGAAAGGGTCAAGTGCTCGAGGGCCGTCCTCACCCAGGCAAATACCTGCTGTCCACAGTTCAAGGCCCACAGGCTCAGTGAGCAGTGGGTGGCCAGGGCGAAGGCGCTGTGGAACTTGGACTGAACGGGAGAAAGGGCTGGGATGGAGAAGAGAACAGAGGAGCTCTCAATTCCTGAGCATTGTTGTGCCAGGCATTGCATTTCACTGGTATTATCTTGTTAATTTAACCCACACAAAAACTTGATCACACACAATACAGCATAATTGTTCAGCGCTTGGTTAGAATCTAGATAGTGTTTCTTATACCTGGCTACAATTCAGAATCATCTGGGGCATTTTCGTTTAAATAAGAAGTTCCAAGTCTCCCCCCACCCCCGCCCCAGACTATTTAAATTAGTATCTCTCTATGCCTCCTATCATCCTGATACATAGTAACATCCTGGTAAATGGGCTATTTTTATTTTCCTTCTTGTA